AATTGACCGGAGTGGGCTCTGTTACCGGTGTGGCCGGGCGGGGCACATCGCGCGGGACTGCGCAGGGAGTGCGGCCTGCGCGGTGTGCTCTGAGAATGGCAGGGACTCGAGCCACCGAGTGGGTGGTCCCGAGTACCCAATGGGGGGAGGTGCTCCGGCGGGCGGGAGGCCGCCGGGGCACCGCAGGGGCCGACCGCCGAACGCGGCCGGCTCAGCTTGCCCCCCTACGGGAGGCGTGCCGGCGGACCCCGAGGAGGCACCCCGGGATCCGGCCGGCGGAGAGGGCCCCGGTCTGACCACCTAGACCGGGGCCACGGCGCCGGCCGAACATCAGGTCGGCGTCGAGGGGGGTCGGTGCCGGGCGGAACTCCGCCTCCACCGGTCCCCCCTCTCCCCTACGGGTCGCTTGGAGGGTGTGCGGGGGCGCACCCTCCAATCATAGCGGCCCGGGAAGGAGGCGGCGCGGTGTTGGGTCGCACCGCGCCGCTGCTCAGGAGGAGCGCGACCGGGGGTGATTTATTACCCCCGGTCCGGGAGGGGTCCTCAGGACCGCGGAGGGGGGTCCGCAAAAGTTATACGCAAGTGGTCCCCGCGGGCCCCCTGATGACCGCTGAGGACGGACCCGCCAGGGGTTTTAGTGAGTAGGGCCCCCGCCGAGTTTGTTTCGGCGCGGGAGGAGCCCCACATAACCCGCGGTCTCCCCCCGGAGATCGTGGGTATGCGTAAAGCATTTCCCCTGGCTCAAAAAAAAAAAAAAAGAAAAATAACATTGGACAAGTTGGAGAAGATAAATTGAGGAAAATTAGAAGTATTGTAGATCGTCTAAGAAAGGTATTCTCAGAGGCTTTCTATCCTTTCAAAAATCTGTGTATCGATGAAAACTTGCTTCTATGGAAAGGTCGTCTATTCTTCAAGCAATGCATTCCATGTAACGTCTCTTGTGACCACTCAGAAACAAAAAGGTTATGCTCTTTTTGGTTTTTAGCCTGTCTGCTTACACCGACAATAGCCAGGACTGCTAGAGAGCGGTGCACCGAAATGAAGTTATCAATATGTGTGCTTAAGTAAATTGAGAATGACTGCGACTCGTCTTACATTGGTCAAACGGGCAGAAAGCTCTCTACTTGAATATCTGAGCATAAGCGATTACCTCGAGACCTTACATCGCATCTCTCTGTTGTCCAAGAGCACCGTGTTGAGTACGGCCATGAATTTAAATGGGATAGCGTCAAGGTTTTACATAAGAAACATCTATTTTATAAAAGAATGATTGCGGAGATGATTTTTATTAAAATGCAGACGAATTCTCAGACTGATACTGAGAATTTAGGAAAGTATTATAATACGCTGCTTGGTTTGACTTGAATTGTTTTTCGTTTGCAATTCGTACCAAGTATAAACATATAATTCTGTATTGTTTGCGGCATTCGGAGGTACACGTTCATTAGCTCAACATCTCACTGGAACTTTACTATCTTTTATTGAGGTATATATCATTATTTTTTCCTCATATTTGGTTTGGTTACTTTATCTTAATACGTTTTTTTAGATGATTATACCACAGCACCTTAGTACGTGCGATGGAGTGACCAATCATAGAATAAATTACTAGTATCTTCCAGGAAAAATTTCTTTGTCTAAATGATTATTTACGTTGATGCTTCCGAATTTCGTATGCAAAAACTTGTAGC